AGTGGGGCTGGGAGCTCCTGGGGCACAGAGCAAGTCGGCACAGGCCAGGGCCGGGGCCTGGGGCTCCTAAGTCGGGCGCACCCTCTCTCCTCTGCATTTGGCCCTTTCTACTAAATCGCCAAATAGTACATATTTTAGACTTTGCTGGCCAGACAGCTTTCTTGCTCTAAAGCAACTCAACTCTGCCCCTGTGGCACAGAGCAGGTATTGACCCTAGGAAAGCAATGGGTGTGGCTATGTGCCGGCCAAATTTTATTGACCAAAAGAAGCAGCGGCAGGATTTGACCTGTGAGCAGTGGTTTGCTGACCACCACTCTGCACAGAGCAGGGAATGGGGCCTGAAAATGGGATCCCGCAGAGCACGTGGGGAGAACTTTAGCCAGCTCCGGGAGCTGCCCCCAGGTGGACGCAAGAACTGAACTCCGGGCCTCAGGTGCTGTACCCTGCACTGTACCGAGGCATTTAGACCAAGCCCGGAAGTCTATCCAGAGCTTCTGTAACCGTGGCGCAGAGCAAAGCTGCCTGTGTGGGGTTGTGCTGTTGTTGCTGCTGCTGTGATTTCTGAAACTGGGGCTTCCAATGGATCCAAAAAGTGACTCAGCTGCCATAGTCATTGAGAAAAATCAGAAGACGCGGGCACTTACTGCCAAAGCAGGTTTTCCTTAACCAGCCTTATACTGGGCACCCACCACTATATACTGGCATCGTGACAGGCCTTTCAGATGCGCTCCATCCCAACGATTCCTGGAAGGAGGTAGAATTATCCCCATTTCCAAAGGGGAAATGGAGACTGAGATATACAGAGGTTAGGAGATCTCAAATCACACAGCGTGGCCAAGTAGGACTGGGATCTCAGCCCAGGTTTTCTGAAGCCCATGGCACTGATGGTCTCTAGCATGGCAAGATGCTCACCAGTGCACTTGGTTACTTACTCTTGGCCAAAGGAAAGGGCTGTTTGGAAATAAACTTAACCAATGGTCCAAAAAGATAAGACGTCAAATGATTTTGGGAACTTCCCATTTAGCAAAATTGAGATTATTGTATTCATAGGCTAAAATTTATGAAACTCAAGGAGAATTATTTTATCGTTGATGATTTTCCCAGTTATCGCCTGGCATACCCTTTTCTGGTCATGCTGTAGAAGTGTTCCCGCTATGCTGGGCGGGGGAGAGTCCTTCGGTGCGTTTCAGTCCACAGCTGCCCCGTCTCCCGGTCACTGTTTCCGGCTCCCCGGGCCTTCCTCTCTGGGAGCCTCGCCCTCTGGCCAGGCCTCCTGGAAGCCGCTCTGCCCAGTGGGTCCTCACTGCCATCTCAGAAAGGGGCCTCGCTCTCGGATAGTGAGGGGCGGGCATGAGTCCCAGGCTCTTTCATGGCCTCAGGGAAAGTTGTGCCTTTGAAACCCAGGTTCTTTTTTTCCCCGTCCCACTCAGAGAGGATCCTGCTGCCTGTGGGAGTTTCTCCCAAACATCAAATAGGCCAAAGGTTGTATTACTTCGCCATAGCCCTGCCCGCGCTTTCCTGTAAATGGGAGCTAATTAAAGCCAAATGCTTTGATATGAGGACACCGTTCCTTTGAGAATCCCCCGTATGTGTAGCACTGGGTCCAGTTTCCAGAAGGTCCTGGTGCTGATGGGCATATTTCCCAAAGCCTATGCCGACGGCTTCCTCACCCATCAAGTAAGAGAGATAGGTCAGGCAGGAAGGATAGCTGAAGAGGCAGGCCTCTAGCTTGGAAGTCCCATGCCAACACCAAAGATGGCGCCCTCCGTGCCCAGCAGGGGGCGGCCCTCCTGGCCCTGGGCTGTGGGGCTTGGTTTCACATAAAAAGCTTTAACGGGCATTTGGATGGTCAGACAGGTCTTGGCAAGCCGGAGTGACACACAGGTGTGGGAACACAGGCCAGGCTGGACTGGACACTGTGGGCTGGGGGAAAGCGGCCGGCAGGCGTCTGCGTACCGCCCAGCGGCCTGGGCTCCCGGCCTGCCAGCCCTGCCGCCACAGCTCTGGCCACAGCCTGAGGCCTGTGCCCTTCCTGAGCCAAAGGTTCAAAGAATGAAGAGATTCTGAGTACGGAGCTTGCAGGTTGGTATTTGAGAGGGAGCATATTCCCAGAAAGGAGTTTCAGCGTCTCAGAGAAAATGTCTCTACTCTCAGGGACATGAAAGAAGGGGAAAGAGGAAATATTTATTTGTCTGAAAGAATAATAAACCTTGGCTCTTGGAGAAAGCATAACAAACTCAGAGAGACCCGCTAGGCTTGGCGTCAGAACACTTGGCTCCAAGTCCCCCCTGCCGGCTGTGTGTCTGGGAGCACAGCTTTTCCACCAGCCTGGGCCTTTAAGCTCCTCACCTGTAGCTGGGGCAGGGGCTGAGCCAGATCCTCGGGAAGGTCCCTTTTGATTCTGACAGTTCAGCACAGGACCATCCAATAAGCGTTCTACAATAACGAAAATATTCCCTGTGTGTACTGACCGGGGCGACACCACCAGCCCCGCGGAGGCACTGAGCGCTTGAAGTGTGGCTGGTGCAACTCAGGATCTGGATTTCTCAGCTGCACGTCATTTTACTTCAGTAAAAATTAAGTAGCATCCTGGAGTTAGTGGCTACCATATTGGACAGAGTGGGCCTAGGATTCTAGAACCAAAGATTGCGTTCTGTTCAGTCTCTTATGTTTATCAAGCTAAGCCCCTTCTAGACCAATTTTGCACAGCAATTGAAATTAAGAACTGCTGGTTTGTACTCCGTAGGACATCCAGGGAGCCAGAAGCCCCCCAGACCCACCCCGCACCTTGGCATTTCAGCTCATTCAAATCTTACACACACACACACACACACACACACACACACAGCCCCCCAACCAGGAACCACAGCCGGCTAAGCTGTGTGTTTGTGTCCCCAGTCAGGCTCATGACCCTGCATGCCAGGCATGTGGAATCATGTCCAAATAGCCGCAGGCAGCTTCAGGATCCAATCCATTTCTCATCATTTCTTGGCAAGTCCAGATGGCAGGTCCTTAATAAAAACATCAGCTCAGCTCATTAAGGAAGCACTGTTGCATGTATTTGGAGGGTGAGGTTCAAAAAGGTGCTCCAGATTCCTATTTCCGGCTTTCTCCTCTATATCTGCCATTGCCAAGGTGGGTCCTGCACTGAGTCCCTCCAATTGCTCCCTTATTTTTCCATTGCTACTGTCGTTGCCTTAGCTGAGATCCCCTCAGCTTCTTCCACGCTATTCATCGGCTTCCTCCCTGGCTCTCAGCTCCCCTGTTTACACTCCTTTGTGAAACTTTCTAAAATACCCCACCAGTCACGTCATCCTTGGGCTCAAGTCCTGCAGCAGCGCCCCCAGTGCCTGCAGGAGGGAGTCCAGCCAGGCTCTTTGTGGGGTAACCAAGCCCCCCACAGTCTGACCTTCCTACCAATTCAGCTTAATTTCCACCAGTCTTTCCCAGGAACCCCTGCTCCAGCCAGCAGGCCACTCCCGGCCCCCCGCGGGGCCGCTGCTCTCCTGCAGACCCCCACACACCTGTCCCTCCCCTTGGCTCCGTAGACACCTATCCGACCTTCCAGTCAGTCTCAAGTGCCACCAGCTACATGAAGCCTTCTCTGCTCTCCCCGGTTCTTTCTTCCAGACCTTATCAGTGTGCATACTCTTTCTAGGTAGAAAGCTGGCAGTGTAGCAGAGTGGTTAGAATAATGCTACAATGGAAGCAGCTAGACCTGGGTCCAAATATCTGTCATTGTATGTAACTTGGGGCAACTGACTACACCATTCTCTGCACCTCAGTTCTCCTGTCTCGAAGATAGGAACGATTCCTATCCTTCAAGGTGGTTATGAAAACTGCACAAGTTAACTTATGTAATGTGCTCAACGCAATACCAGATGCATTACAAGCACTCGGTGAGTGGTAGGAATGGTTATTATTATTTCATTATTAAGCCCTTATTGAGGAAGGAGTAGGGCCCTACGTACACTGTTCTTAGCTCCCTCTCTACTAAGAAGTGTCTGGATAGTAGGCATCGCTTGCATTTTTGGTATTCCCTCGCACCCAGCTGTAGTTTGCAAATAGTGAGGACTTGGTACATGAATTGGTGGAGCACCTTTGGAGCCTGAAGGCCTATATTTGAGTCCTGGGTCCACCAATTACTAACTGTGTGAACTTGAGCAAGTGTCTTAACCTCTCTGGGTTTGTTTCCTCATTTGTAAAGTGAATAAAATAGTGGTCCCTTTTTCATAGATTGAGCAAAGATTAAACAGAGCATTAAAAACATGTCTAGGGGACCATCACCGGGGTTAATCAGCCCATGACGTAGAGCCTACACTTGCCAGGCAATCAGTGAGGGTATTATGAAAGAATGGTCCCTTTATACCAGCTGCAATGAGGTTTAGGGGTGGGGCTATCACAGTAACATTCTCATCTACAGTTGTCTGGCCTAGGTTCCTGGCATAATTAGCTCCCTCCTCTTTTTCTGCTTTTATTACTTGGCTCTGAGCCAATTGCCTGGTCTTAACTGGTTTCTGGCATGTCGGTCCTTTTGGAAAATACCTCTTAATCCTCTGTGGACCCAGAGGGGCATCAAACAAATACAGAATTTGGCCACACTCCTCTCGATGTCAACTGAGTACTAGTATCAGGTGACGGATACAGCATCGTGAAAGACAAATAGAGAAATACATTTGCAGGGCCCTGAATGAGGCTTTATTTGCCAGTTGACTAAGAACACAGGCTCCTGAGGCAGCAGAGAAATAGAAACATCAGCAAAGACAATTAGCTCATGGAAATGAGAGAGGCCGTCTCTAAGCGCTGGGGGGCCAGGGCGCCTCCGCGGTACCCGAGGGCCTTGCGGACAGACAGCCCACCCAGTGCTGCTCGCAGTCTTCTTGCTGGCACGCCGGCCCAGCTCTCTCACGGGTGGCCGCTGAACCGAGGCCAGGCTTGGCTTAGGGAGGCTCCAGCTGCCCAGCCCTGGTCCCTCCAGCATTCGCCAGCACGGACGGACTTCAGTAGCGGCCTGGGGGACAGGGCACGCAAGGCACACAGACGGTGTGGGGCACACAGATGGTGTGGGACACAGCAGGCGAGGGCGCGCAGGGCGGGCACGAGGGCGTGGAGCACGGGTTACAGGGCAACCTGCGGAAGAAAGGCAACGTGAAGGGCGCGAAGAAGCGGAGCAGGCAACATGAGCAGCCGGTCCTGCCCCCAATGCCTCCCAAGTTCACCCACTACTCACCTTCTCCCCTCACTTCCCCGGTCCCTGCCATCATCGTCTTCACCTGCGTGACCCCCGTGGCCGCCTAGCCGGTCTCCCACCCCCGCTCCTGCCCCTCCTGACCAGCGCCAACTTGGTGGCCAGAGTGAGCTTCTACAAACACAAATCTAATCATCACCCTCCTCTGCGTAAGACCTTCAGTGGCTGCCAGTTGTACTCAGGATGAAGAGCAGCTCCCTTCACCTCCACGGTCGCATCCTCCTTGAAGCCCTCCTGGATCTCTTGGGGTCAAACCTCCCTGTGGTACCGTGTGGATCCTTCCACAGCGACTTGTGACTATTCTATTATGACCGCTCTCCCCACTGGGCAGTGAGGTCAGCAGCCGTGGATGCGAGCCCCCCTGCGTGCCTGGCCTAGTGCAGGCACTTAATGAGAATGTATTGAAAAAGATGAAGTAATCCATTAACAGAGAAGAAACACATGGCAGACAGAAACAGGATGACCTCAGAGACTGGCAGGTGTGGCTCAAAGCCAGAAACAACACACTGGCTATTGGATGGACACCAAGTAGCCCAGAGACTAGACAGGCAGCCCCAGGACTATATCCAGCTTGAAATGTGTTTCATTTGACTGGCACTATATTGTTTTTTTTTTAATTTGTTAAAGATATTTAAACTTCAAGAGAATTTAACATTTAAAGACATCCAGACCCCCAGCTTCCCTGGAACGATCAGAAGATCCAGCCGTACTGTCATTCCCCTGTGACAGGAGGGGCCCAGGGGGCGGCGCCGCCCGCCTTGGGCACGGCCTCACTCCCCGTCCCCCACAGTCCTCCATGAGCCACGTCACTCACATGCGCTAACAGCCTTGAGCACCATTTGACTGTGCAACTCTTGCCTGGAGGACAAGAATCTAAATGATAGAGAAGCACGGTTGAATGTAGAATAAAAAACTACCTGTAACAGTGATCAGTGCACGGGGTCCACCGCCCAGAGGTGTCCTGTGCACCAACGACAACCAAGTTCTGCGGCTTCTACCTGCACAGCAGCTGGGGGCCGATGCTGCCTCTCGCCTGATTCAGACCCTCCCTGTTGCTTATTATGCAGACCATGGCCGGGGCCTCCTGAACAGTGTCCCTGCCTTGTCCCTCCTCCCTCCACTCGGCCCTTCTGACTGCCCACCTTCCTGAGGGGCAGCTTGGAGCTCTCATGGACTCGGTCAAGAAATGTCTACTGAGCATCTGCTATGTGCCAGGTGCAGGAGATAAAAATATTTTATATTGTCTCTGAGCTCCAGGTATTTATTTACCCTCCAGTGAGGGAGATCAGCAGTGAAGCAAATTCTATCACTTTCTCCTCAAAAAAAAAAAAGCAAGGCCTCCCAATTTCTATAAGATAAAGTCCTCCCTCTCCATCATGGTCTCCAGTGAACGGGTCCCAACTGACCTCCCCTGTTGTCCTCTCCACCCCAGATCATCACACAAAGCTACTTTGTTTTCCTCCCAAGTGCCCAAAACATTTCCCCCCAGTATGATCTCCAGTTGCCTGTCTGCCTGCCTCTCTAAACAAAATGGAAACAACTTAAGAGCAGCAGATGCCTTATCACCATCCATCTCGATCTTCCCCCAGTGCCTGGCACATGCTGGGCACTTGGAAGGAGTTTGTTAACTTGGGATAGAAAATAATGATCTCCAATGGGCCAGGTTTAGGGATGGCAGCATGAATTCCTGCGGGACTTTCTTCTGATCTTATCAGCTTCCTAATCGCTTCTTAATTGTGCCAGAGTTCTACCTCATGGGTCGATCCAGTTGCCTCCTAAGGCTTCCCCAACCCTCCCACACCTCTCCCTGTGCAGCGTCAGCCAGGCCCACGTACCTGCAGTCCTCGCTCTCCAGCAGGCTCTGGTACGTGTTGATCTCGCACTCCAGCCGGGCCCGGACGTCCAGCAGCACCTGGTACTCCTGGTTCTGCCGCTCCAGGTCGCAGCGGATCTCCGCCAGTTGGGCCTCCACGTTGGTGATCATGCACTGTATCTGGGCCAGCTGGGCACTGTAGCGGGCCTCGGTCTCTGCCAGCGTGTTCTCCAGCGAGTCCCTCTAAAGCGGAAGGAAAGGCTAACTGTGAGGGACAGATCTAAGTTTCATGGCCTGATTCAGAAAGAACCAGAAAGAGCCCAGTTGCTCTTTGGGGTTGGGAATGACCACTCCCTACCTAAGTCACTGTGGAAACTAAAGCCCAGAAAAGTCAAGTGACTCATTCAAGGTTAAGCAGCTGGTAAGTGACAGACCAGGGTTTGAACACAGGTCCACGTAATCCTAAATCCCTTGTTCCTCCTCCGACCTTAGTCTGGCTCCAGGCTTTGCACCTGAGGTCCACCAGGCTCCTTCCCCACATCCTTATTTAGAACACTGGTCTTTAATCCTGGCTGCATGTTAGAGTAGTATAGGAGCTTTTTAAAAAACACCCAGACCCAGGCCCCACCTCCAGAGACTGACTTCATTCTTCTGGGGAGGAACCTGGGGATGGGGTTTTTTTGAATCTCCACAGGTAGGGTGGAGAAGCACGGGTTTGCAGGCTAAGCAGAGAGCAAGCATCCTTGGGGAGTTGTGTTTGACAGTGGCCGCCTGATCCCCGTTAGATTTGAGATGCCCATTTTATCTCTAAGCTGGATCATGAGAGAAACCTCCATCCAGCAGAGGTCAGCTAGGCAAGCATCCTTGGTGGCCGAACCTTGGCTTCCTCCTCCTTCCTGGATGCCCACACCTACGCTCGGTGCCACCTGGGAGCCCGGGCTGGCAGAGAGGTGCCCACCCAGCGGCACTCACCAGGCTGTGCTGGGCCTGCAGCTCGATCTCCAACGTGTTGACCGTGCGTCTCAGATCAATGATGTCTGACTGGTAGGTCTGAAGCTGCTCAGAGCTCGTGGTCACCTGCTGGTTAAGCTCCTCCATCTGTAGTGGGGGAGACGGACGAGGCTGGGGGTGCTTTCTCGGGGACACTGGGGAGGCCAGCCCACCCACGAGAGGCCTACTTGTGTGTTGAACCACTGCTCCACATCCCTGCGGTTGGCCTCCACCACCGTCTCATACTGACACCGCATCTCTTCCAGCATCCTGTTCAGATCCACAGGGGGCGCAGCGTCCACCTCAATGTTAAGGCGGTCCCCAAGCTGGCATCGGAGGGTACTGACTTCCTGAAAAGGAACAAGAGCTCCAGGTAAGTGTGAACTTGCAGGATCTGGGCTCACCTCCTGAGGCGATATGAATAGACAGAACAAAAAAATGCTAAAGATCTCTACATGAAAAGGGGCCCTTTGAGGATCGCAGTATACCCTGGAGTATCCCAATGGTCTTCCAGTTACAGCTAGACACCTTCCTCATGGGAGAGTCACTCCAGCTGAACACATCCTGTCACTTCGGCAGAAGCCAAGAGCAGCACCAGGGGAAGCCCGCGCCCCTGTATCCCTGTCCACCCTTCCCGCCTGTGTCCATCTGGGAAGGAGGGCAGCAGAAGCCTGGCCTCACTTGGTTCAAATCCAGGTTAGAGCAGGCGCCTCCGCAGGCTTGGCTGCCAAAAAGAAAAAGTTGTCACCAAGGCTCTGGAGTGTGCGATAAGCCTCATTAGTGGTTTCTTGGCTCAGGTCCCAGTTCTCTGATTAGGTGGGATGAGTCAGGTACCTTAGGGCACTTGGCAAATCCATGGTGACTGATTGTTGCTTTACACTTAAGCCTGAAGAGGCCCAGCCAGGATTCAGAGATACTTGTTCTTTCAGGTTCCAAGTCAAGAGGTTGAGAGTCAACCCATGGAAGTAGGAAAAAGACCCAGCACTCAGGTGGGCACTGCAGCACTTAGGTGCCCAGCGTGGAGGGGATTCCCCTCCCCAGACCCTCCGGAAAAGTCAGAAAGTAAAGGGTTGACCTAAGGCTTTTGGACAAAATATATTATATGCAAGTAGAAGAGACAAGGGAGACGAGACTGAGGAGAGAAATAAGAAGGAAGCCACAGCAGTTCAACTCTCCCTGAGAAGGCACGGGGTCACGCCAGCAGCCCAGCCTGGCCGAGACAGACGGTATGAGCTCCGGGGCAGGCCGCCCCTGGGGCGGCAGCGGGCCGCTCTCCCCCGGAACTCGGCTCTCGTGAGAAAAACAAGTGCAGTGGAAATGCATTTGGCAGCCATGCAAGTCCAGGCAATGCAGAGAGAGGATTGCTGGCCTTTCTGAGCACTGACCGAGGGACATTTAATTCTCATTTAGTTCTCACAGCACCCCTCTTTGATAGCGTTGTCCCATTTTACAGAGGAGAAGGTTCAGAAAGGTTCAATAAATTGGGCGAAATCACAGAAACTGTGTGGCCAGCCTGGGAATTTCAACCCACATCTGTCTGACCCGAAACCCCACGTTCTTTCCAAATTCTACTTTCCAGGGCCACCTCAGCCTGGCGCGGAGCCCACCTCCTCGTGGTTCCTCTTGAGGCAGAGCAGCTCCTCCTTCAGGGACTCCACCTGGGCCTCCAGGTCGGCCTTGCACAGGGTCAGCTCGTCCAGGACCCTGCGCAGGCCATTGGTGTCTGACTCCACCAGCTGCCGCAGGGCCAGCTCCGTCTCGTACCTGCACGGGGACAGGGTCAGCAACAAGGGGTGAAATTGAATACAGAACTGCTGGCTCTCTTCCAGCTCTCTCTGAAATTAATGGGAAGCTGCAGAAGCCAGTGCAGGGAGAGCGGGCAGCCCCCACTCCCTGGGCAAACTCACTTGGTCCTGAAGTCATCAGCCGCCAGTTTGGCATTGTCGATGTGCACGACCATCCTGGCGTTCTCTGCCTTGGTGCACAGAACCTGGAGGCCAGAGCACACGGAGGGGCTCAGTCCAGGGCAAGAAGAAGGGTAAGGGACCCCAGTGCAGAGAAGACCATAGTTGGTGGGACTCAGCAGCCTTGCATCCATCCCTGCAGAAGCCCCTCCTCCCTGGGATGCTGAGGGATACTTAGTGATGAGCTAAGTAGTCCTTAGAAACATGGGATTTATTTTTTAAGCACCTGAGTCTTCACAAATCCACATGCCCCATTTTGGATTCAATGAGCAATATGCAAGGAAAGAATCTCATTAAGCCTGAAGTCTCTCGTATATCATAAGGGTCCTTAATAAGCACTAACATTTACTAAAAACACACCATGGTCCACGGGCTGTGCTAAGCATTTTACCTGCATCAACTCATGGAATCCCCTTGGCAGCCCCTTTATATAACGACCATTATTGTCCCCATTCCACAAAATAGGAAACCGAGGTGCAGGGAAGGGAAGGAACCTCTCAAAGTCAGGCGATGAATCAGTGGTAGAACTGACACTACATCCCAGGTCTCTTTCCACATTAAGGGCCCTGGTTGCGTGCTCAAATTACGAGATAATTCTATGCCCCAGGGTAGTCTGTTTTCCATGTAAATTATGAGATTCAAATCTGGAATGGCAGCCATTCCAGCTGCCTTCCCAGTGAGACTATTCACCACTTGCCCTCACCTTCTGCTGGAGCTCCTCAATGGTTCTGAAATAAGACTGGTAGTCAGGACACATGGTAGGCACTTGAGACTGGCAGGTCTCTTGGATCTTGCACTCCAGCTCTGCGTTCTCCCGCTCCAGCTGCCGCACCTTCTCCAGGTAGTTGGCCAGCCTGTCGTTCAGGAACTGCATGGTCTCCTTCTCGTGGCCATTGAAGGTCCCTTCGCAGCACCAGCTCCAGGTACCCATGGAGCTGGAGATGCCACCGGTTGGCCGGCAGCTACTGGGTCGGCAGGAACTAGATATGTAGGTCTTGGGGAGGCAGCCAGCCGGCCGGTGGGTGGTGGGCATGCAGACAGAAGGCACGCAGGCCATGGGCTGGCAGACGTAGTTCAGGCACAGCTCTGGCCGGCAGTTCATGCTGCTGGAGCAGACAGAGGAGGACCGGGGGCTGCTCTTGACAGAGGCAGGTGAGCAGTTGGATGTCATGCTGCGGAGGCCCTTTCTCCTCGGCTGCAGCTGCCTGAATCGCCAACACCTACAGACCCCATCCTGCTCAGGCCCTTTTATACCCTTGGAATGAGGGGGTTCACACTAGAAAGTCGTCACGGGGTGGTGTTGATGTTTATGCTCAGCCTCAGAGGAAGCTGCCAATTAATTTGTAATTTAGTTTCCAATAAGGAGTTCCTTTCCCCATAAAAGAGGCCAAGCTTGTCATTTGGCTAAAGCAGGACTCTGAGCTCCTGTCATTGATCACCAGGGGAAAGCTTCCGGACACATCTTCAAAGGATTGACTTTGTGCCTGAGCCCTCATTACCAGGGCGGTGCCGCCAGAAGACCACGGTGGCCCGGCCCTGCGCCACCGACGGCCATGTGCACTGCGCCCCCGCCTGCTCCCGCCCTGAGAAAGGCCACAGTGCTTGGGGCAGCAGCCGCTCCTTTGAATGTGGGAAGAGACCTGGCCCCTCGAGGAGGAAGTGTGTGGATGCCAGAACTGCCCTGATACCAGCGGCAGTAGAAGTCCCGGGGGACAGGAAAGAGAGCCTCTTAGGCTTCTAAGCGTGAATGGTCTTCCTACCCTGGGGAAGAAATAATAACTGGGAAGAGAGACACAAACTCAAGACCCAGACAGAAAGCCTAAGAACCGGGACATCTTCTCAGCCGGACACTATGGAGAAAGAAAGATGACAGAGCCCCACTCGTGGAAAAAACATTCAATGTCATGAACATCTCTGTGAGGCGGATGCCCCATCTTGACCATGTCTGGACCCCTCCCCCCTTCATTTCTAGCCGCTCCATGAACAGCGTTGGCAGGTTCGGTTATTGTTTGTTGAGACTGAGGGCGGCCAGGCTGGGGCTGGCTCTGCCTTCACTTTCTGCAGCGGTGGACAGGGAGGACCCACTTCAGGGCCTCCGGGGGGAGAAGCGGTGTGAATCAGCTCCCCGCAGAAGTGACACCTGGGATGAGCTAAGCCAGGAGATTGGGAGCAGGTGACTCTAGCTATAGAAGCCTTGGCCATTCCTTAAGAAAGCTACAGGCAAGACCCGTGGTTTTCAGTCCTTGCCTATAATACTTGCCAGCTCACACACTCCATGTTAAATATGTATGTTATACAGACAAGTCTTATTTATTAACCTTCTCAACATAATATTGGAATATAAGCCGTTGTGTTTTTCATATGCTATTTCTATTGCTTCAGAAAAATCAAGACAGAGCGGTTACCTTCTACCTTGATGCGTGACCTTGGAAAAACCATTCTGCCTCTCTGGGCCTCATGCAAATTGAAAAGGTTAGATTAAACTCTCTCTCAGTTTGATTTCCAGCCCATTTGTCTAGATTAACTATTCAGGTAAGACAGTGGAATCAGATGGGAGGAGGAGTGGAGGCAATCCCAGCTATGTGGAATGAGTGGGACTCCTCGGACCGAGCTTCCGAATTGTAACCAACACATATTGAATGTATGCTGGTGCCAGGCACTATGCTGGGTGCTTGGCATTAATTTGCCTATGTAATCCTCACTTTTAAAAAGCTGTAAGATAATTAGTATTATAATAAGGTGGACAATGGTTCTCCAAGTGTGGTCTCCAGGCCAGCAGCATCAACATCACTCAGGAACATGTTAGAAATGCAATTTCTCAAGTTCACCCCAGGCCAACTGAGGCAGAGACTCTGAGGATGGGGCCCAGCCACCCGTGCCAAGCAAGTCCTCCAGGCAGGTCTGAGGACAGCTGACGTATAAGAACATATGTATCTTAACACCTGCCGCCAGAATTCCTCTATGGAAAAAAAAAATCTTTACTTAAAAAAATACATTAAGAAGTTTTTGGGGTAAAAGATGGTCCCCCAAGTGCCTCGATGTTGGCTGGCAAGGCACGAGAGGAAAAGAGAGGAGGAGAGTTTGACGTGCCCAGGACGGTCATGGCAGGAAGGGGTGAGAGGAGAGGGGCACAGGAGCCAGGAGGAGAGGCACCAGGAAGGCACTAAGAGGCTGTGCACTGTGGCTCAGTCCCACCTCATGGTCCCCAAGAGATCTTGCCGCAAAGCCCACTACACTCAAATGCAATAAAGGAGAGCAGATTGTTCAAAGCCACAGGCGACCAGGGTTCCAGCCAATGTGCCTGACCTGGGTACGTTTCAGGGGGAGGAAGCAGGAATAGAGAGAGGCAGCTGCAGGACACGAGGGTGCGCGGTTGGTGTTCGAACCCAGATCTATCTGAATCCGAAGACTTTCCGCTGTGCCTCAGCCTCTCTGAGGCCAAAGCAAGCTATTGAACAAATACGTTTAATAGAAAAATAGGAGGATTAGAAGGGAAAGTGGTGCAGATAAATCCGAGGACAAGGGAGAAAGCAAGAAAGAAATACTGGTGAGAGTTTGGGGCCAAATAGGTCCAGGACCTATTTAAAGGAAATATTTAAAGAAATAAAGTGCAGATAGGATACCTGTCTGGTCCTGGCCCAAGACTGTCTCCTTCTTTCCACCCTTTCGGAAAACAGAATGACCTCACAGAGAAGACCTACGGAAACCATATTTTGGTAATTCTACCGTCCAAAAAGCCAGTTTCCCACCCTGCCTGTACATGTGGCATCTTCCATAGGTTTTTATTTGGTGCCTTGTCATTAAATATAAGCGGAAGAATCACCAGGCATTTGAGCTTTTCCAACATTAAAAACAGAGACAAAATAAGCAAACAAAAAAACTGTTTTCCCCTAAAACAAAAATAATGCAGACTCTAAAACAATCTATTTAGATATATATGGGTATATATTTGTATAACCTTGGAGATTAGTATAGCAGCTACACCCTTGAAGCAAGAGCTGGGTATTAGAAAAGAGGAACAAAAAGTTTTAAAAATAGCTCTTTGGAATTAAACTTACAATAGTTGCAATGAAAAATTCAGTTCAGGTGTTTGAAATTAAAAGAGAGGGGGGCAGAAAACCAGAACCAAGAATAGTCAAAAGTGCAACACAGGCCCTGGCTGGTGTGGTTCAGTGGATTGAGCACCAGCCTGCGAACCAAAGGGTCACTGGCTTAATGCCCAGTCAGGGCCCATGCCTGGGTTGCAGGCCAGGTCCCCAGTGAGGGGTCTGTGAGAGGCAACCACACATTGATATTTCTCTCCCTCTTTTTCTCCCTCCCTTCCCCTCTGCCTAAAAATAAAATAAATGAAATCTTTTTTTTAAAAAAAGCTAGTGTTATTTAATTTAAAAAAAAAAAAAAAAAGTAAGTACAACATGTGGACCAGGTCACGCTGAGGTCCGCAGCAGAGCGGCCCTGCGCCCTGTGCACTCCCAGCCGCCTCGGCCCTGGCTGCACGTTAGAATCACTCGGAGAGCCTTTCAAAGCCCCAACGCCAGGCTGTATCCCAGACCAACTGAAGTCAGCGTTTCAGGGTTTAGACCAGCCATCCCTGTATTTTTAAAGCTCTGCAGGTCCTTCCAGTGCGCGGCCAGGGCTGAGAACCTCTGGCCAAATGGAAACAGCTTTACAATTAAAAAGCACAAGCAAATAACATAAACAGCAATTCAAGGCAGGGCTCCACAGGGCCTGGTTAGCTCCATCCTGGAGGGAGTTAGAGTGGATTTGGAAGGGGCTTGCACGACAAAGAACACAGTAAAGAGGAAAAGCATGGCTTACGTAAATCAGAGTTAACACAAACCAGTGGGCTCAAGAGAACGTGCATTACCGCTTGCTGACTGCGGCTTCTCCCTCTGACTTTGCTATGAGTCAGAAATAGCTAATACGTCATTTAACTACTTATTCACTTTGGCTGGCCTGGGCATTGCTGCTTGGAGAGAGACCTCAGAAATGAAACCCTAGGCAGGGAAAGGGTGGATGCCCACTGTCAGAGCAACCCAGGCATCCAGCTAGAATATTGACCAATGTTCAGATGCTCAGCATAGGCTTCGCATAGCCTTTGGGAGCTTGCAGCACAGTAAACGTCATGTTCTCTTCTACTGATGATGAAACTGAGACCTGCCACCGCTAAAGCTCTCACAGGCAGTAGGTGGAGCCGAGAGGTGGGACTCAGGTCCATCTGACTCATGTTGGGAGCCCACGTGCATCGTTCTAATGCCAGGGCCGCTGTAGCTGGCCTCCTCCCACCACTGAGTTAGGCAGGAAAAGAGGAAGAAAGTGGGCTCCTTCCTGCCCCATCCCCAGGCCTTCCTCTAATGAGGGCCCATCCTCTCCCTGGCACCTAACGTGCTGACTGGCCCAGGAAGGTGCTCAGTGAGGGTTCGTTGAATGAACTGAATGATCCTGAGATCGTCACCCTCTCTGGGTGGCTGGGCCTCCACTAAACCAGCCAAGGTGTTCCAAGAAGCCCAAAGCTGAGGTGAGGCAAACGACAGGAATGAGAGGGGGAGTGGAAGAAACCAACGCCCTGGACCTCCCTTCACAGGGCACTGGATTCTAAAGCTGAAACAAGGTGAACGACACTGGACACCCCTAAGAGGTGGGGGTCTCAGGGCTACCTTAGCCAGCACCTTCCCCAAGCTGTTTTCCACCCTGGATGTTGTTATAACTCTCTCAACACCACCAACGCCCTCAGCATGTGTTCTTGGCATCTTACAAAGGGCACATGGCCGTCTGGGGACAAGCTGTCTTCCTTTCCATCTCAGAAAGTTTTGCTGCCATCCTCCTGCATTTCCCATAGGGACTCGTGGAACTCGGCATTTGCCAGTGTCTGTTGGGGGAAGATATTCTAGACACAAGTGAGAGTCTTTGGGTCAAAATGTGGGGGAGCCCCACTTTGGTGCTGAAATGCTCTGGTACCAAAAAGCACCTGTGCCCTATCAGATGTCAAGGGCACACGAGCACATGATGAGCCTCTGAAGGACAAGAATCTGAATTGTGAGTGGAAGCCATGACGGCTGCCTCGCTCTTGTATCTCCTGCTTTTGATGGAGGGTGGGTTTTCAGGGGGGTTGCTGAACGGGGAGGCTGCGTTAAAAGGATGCAATGGAAGGGTGAAATTGATGTGAACACATTCCTAAAAGTACACTGGTGTGGGATTTCATATGTGGCCTTTAGGCCACAGGCATGAGCTAATGAAGTGGCCTAAAGGTGTTTCCCATTGTACTGGTCCCAGGTTCATCCTTCCTCTAGGATTCCAGGGTGACGGTGTATACTAAATGGTAGGAGGGGTCTGGTAACATCTGTCACCACACCAGACTCTTAGAGAAAGGGCTTCATCAGAAAAGCTTAGCAAAGCCCCGCTGTAGGCTTCTACCCACCTTGAAAAGGAGCGTAGGAACCCTGCATCCTACGTGGTCAGACATCCCACATTCATCTGCCCAAGTGTCACCCGCCTTCACCCAACAGAGACACACACCAGCAATCAGGAATGGTGCTACTTAAGCATCGCAAGCCAGAGCAAATGCACTTTATTGTTCCAAAGCCCTCTACTGTATTTCATAACCCACTGAAACAGCACCCAGAAGAAAACCTTGACCTGAGAGGCAGCCTGAGAACAGAGACCCCGGCACCCTTTGAAATGATGAGGAGTCGATGCCTCCAGGAGAGGCCAGCCTTAGTGACAGGCTTTGAGAAACGTTATGGCGTGTATTTGCAGTGAGGCCGCTCAGGGCCAGGCCCCAGGCTCTGCACAAAGAGACGGGATTGGGCTTTAGGGTTAGGGCTGAGTGGTGGCCAAGTCCAAGCCCTAGAGACAATGGCCTTGGCTTTCTGGGCCAGTCACTCTCAGAACCGGCCTCCCGGGCAGGGGACACAAATGGGGCGGGGGCTGCAGGTGGTGCGGGCTGCACCAGGACCACAGGAGGCTGCAGGAAGACAGGGGAGGCATGACTTGGAGGGCGACGGGTCAGGAGCACATGGGTTACAGGGGAGCCTACGAAAAAGAAAAAGATCAAATTAGTATGATTTTCCAGTTGCTGTTTTTAAAACTCAGATCACCTTAAAAATCACTTAGTCCTGCCCCCCTCGTTTTACCAAAAGGAAAACAAGAGGCCCAGGGAGAAACGGGACTTGCCAGGGTCATGTGCTGAATGTGTAATAAGACCAGAACTTAAACCCAGGGCTCCTGACTCTGAATGCTGGGCTCTTCCCAGACCCCTTGCTGGCTCCCAGAACTTTGTAGATGACATCCAGGAGATGAGAGAGTGCAGCGACACTCACTTGCAGTCCTCGCTCTCCAGCAGGCCCCGGTACGTGTTGATCTCGCCCTCCAGCCGGGCCCGAACGTCCAGCAGCACCTGGTACTCCTGGTTCTGCCGCTCCAGCTCAGCCCGGATCTCCGCCAGCTGGGCCTCCACGTTGGTGATCATGCACTGCATCTGGGCCAGCTGGGCGCTGTAGCGGGCCTCAGTCTCCGTCAGGGTGGATTCCAAAGCATCTCTCTGTAAGGGCAAGGATTGCATGAGGAGGAGGAAGTTTGGAGATCGGGGAAGGAGCAAGGAAGATGCATCTAATCCACCTGAGTCTCAGTGTGGCCTCAGAATCCAAGAACAAAAGCTCAGAGAATCACTTTCGGCCAAAACGAACCACAGTTAGATATCTCACTTGAGATGCACCAATTAGCCCCTCCAGCCATCTTGGTCTAGAGAGTGTGAGTCTATAAATAATCTCTCTGAATAGCTCAGAAAGAATCTGCTTCCACAAATACAGGAGCAGCTGCCCGGACATGTCGGTTGCTACAGGCCCCCTGTCTTTTACCACTGGGATATTTGTGAATGGGGGCTGGGCCCTCATTCCATCTTCCCTGCCTAGAAAAATCCCTGGTGCTCAAGAAGTTGAACCACTAGATTCTGCCTGTGTGATCAGAGCACGGAAGTTGGTTTCTTGTGCAGCCGGGCTTGGTCGCGGCAGCCTCGGAACTCACCATGCTCTGCTGGGCCTGCAGCTCGATCTCCAGGGCGTTGACCGTGCGTCTCAGCTCAATGATCTCTGCCTGGCAGGTCTGCAGCTGCTCTGAGCTGGACACCACCTGTTGGTTCAGCTCCTCGGTCTGAAACGTACATACCCAGGACCTGGTCAGGATCACTGAGGACACAGCCTCAGAGGTCTACAGAGGCCATTTAGAGTCATGAGCCATGAAGGACCTTCCACACCACCCAGCCCAAACCGTTCATTTTACACTCAAGGACATTGTTGCTTAGAGGACAGCAACCTGCCCAACACGTGGTGAGGTCAAAACAGAGTTGGGATGCAAATACAGGTTTCTTGATCCAGGGCCCCAAGGTCACTGCTGTGTGACCCATGGGGTGTCTGTTGCACTGACTGTTTCCAGGTACCTACCTGAGTGTTGAACCAGTCCTCAGCGTCCCGGCGGTTATTCTCCACCAGGGTCTCGTACTGGCACCTCATCTCATCCAGAATGCGATTGAGGTCAACAGGTGGAGCAGCGTCCACCTCGACATTGAGCCGGTCACCAAGCTGGCAGCGCAGCGAGTTCACTTCCTGTGGCACAGACCAGGGTCAGCACTAACTCTCCCAGCTGGCTGCTTCACTCATGCTCCTCCCCCACACCTACCTGCTCCCTGCGCTCACCTCCTCCCCCACACTTACCTCCTCATGGCTCTTCTTGAGGCAGAGCAGCTCCTCCTTCAAGGACTCCACTTGGGCCTCCAGGTCAGCCTTGCACAGGGTCAGGTCATCCAGGATTCTGCGCAGGCTGTTCATGTCTGACTCCACCAGCTGCCTCATGGATACCTCCATCTCATACCTGGCAGGCACATAAAGGGCACTTGAAGAAGCATCCCCTTCTTATATCTAAATCAGATCCCAGCCCAGACTGGCCTGGTGCTGTGTGTCCACCGTAATGCCTCAAGGACTTATTGCAGCCAAACCCTGAGTCTAGACATCAACAAGGTCCGGTTCTGCCAGACCCCAGCCAAGAGGCAAGGGGGACACTCACTTGGTCCTGAAGTCGTCCGCGGCCAGCTTGGCATTGTCGATCTGAACCACCAGCCTGGCGTTCTCTGCCTTGGTGCACAGGGTCTAGGGGGGAAAGTGACTTCAGTGAAAGAAAGGACATTCTGAGGGCCGGTGTGCCCCAGAGCTGGATGTGCTGCCTTTGGAGAAAGGGCAGCACCCATCCCTGAACTCTCGGCAGCTGAGGCTCCAGGGAGGCTTATGGGTATGCTGCTAAGGTCCCTGCCAATGCATCTGTCACCTGAAACCTGAAATAAGAGGAAGAAACCTTTTATCTTCCTATCGTCCAGGCTACTGGGGGTCTCTGGGCAGGTTATAACCAACAGCAAACTCTGTGACTCCTTGGTCATTAATGGCCCTTCCCAGAATGCAGCTGTGACTTTTAGAGGATGGGGGCTGGGCAAGAAGGAAACTTCTGGCAGGCTTTTCCTTTCTTAGACTAGTTATAGAAAACCTGCCTGCACCAAACACATCAAATGCAATCCCCTTACCTTGAAGGAGGAGGAAGAGGAAGAGGAGGGAGTGGGCAGAGAAGAGTCGGGCTATGGCACCAAAGGTCACACAACCAATTCATTCATAGGCCTGTGTTCAAGCTCTGGCTCCACACACTGCCAGCTGGACCACTTTGAATAAGTCACTTAACCAGCCTGAGTCTCCGTGTCAACATCTGTTCAATGGGCTGGCGATGCCTCCCTCATAAGATTACTGGGAGGAGCAAATGAGGCCACAGTGTGAATATGCCCTGTGACTTCTGCAGTGCCCCATGGAAGCAGGGCCATCACCTGGTATTCTGGCTTCCAGCCTAGTGCTGGTGGCACCAACCCCCGAGCAGCCAACGCCACTCTAAACCCCTCACCTTCTTCTGCAGCTCCTCGATGGTCCGGAAGTAGGACTGGTAGTCGGGGCACAGGTAGGGCTCCTGCTGCTCACACCACTCGCGGATGCGGCTCTCCAGGCTGGCGTTCTCCTGCTCCAGCTGCCGCACCTTCTCCAGGTAGCTGGCCAGGCGGTCGTTCAGGAACTGCATGGTCTCCTTCTCGCTGCCGGTGAGGATGCCCTCCCCAAACCAGCCCCCGCTTACACTGTAGCTGGTGGCAAAGCCTCCGGACGGGAAGCAGAGAACAGGGAGGCAGCTGGCGGCCCTGCAGCTGCTCCTGCCCAGCCCCACCGAGCGCGTGGAGAAACTCCGGGCCCCGCGGGAGAGGCTCGGGAGCTTGCAAGAGCTGCTGGAGTACATGGTGGACACACGAGTGGAGCCCCCATGGGCCCCTCCCAGGCCTTTGAGAGACCCTGAAGAAAAGCTGGCCTTGAGGCACTTGGAAGCCATGACTTCAGCAGCCAGGACACAAGTGACTGACCTTCAAGGCTGGATACCCCCCGACGTGGAGGTGCCGCTCCTCGCCCGGGTTTATATATCTGCCCCAGTGGGCGTTGGCCTTTACAAAACAAAGTGTTTTCTCCTCGTAAAGTGAATACCACTTTCTATCGTAACTCCTCATTATCCTGTTATTTAGCTTCCCGTGAACATTTCCCGGCCTCGTAAAAAAAGGAGCCCCGTTGGACGGGCGGCCACGTTGAGACTCATCTCCACCGCCCGCGTTGCTGGGAAGACCAAGTCTCCGTCAGTTCTTCAAAGGCGCCTGTCATCAGAGCCCAGACCTCAGCCTCCTCGTTGGGAGGTGTGGGAGCCGAGCTGCTGTCCTGACTTCCTCCAGCGCTGTCTTCTTTTACGGGCCCGAGGGAGCAGAGGAGGCCTCAGGGTTGGCTCCCTGGGCATTGGAAAAACAAGCCTGGTTGTTGCAGGAAAGCAGGGCCTCAAGCCCAAAGAGACACAGAAGGCTCTAGAACGGCTTAGGAAATAGGGATCTGGTAACCAGCTATTAGTTTCCCCAGGATTGTTCTGGTTTTAGTGCTGAAAGCTTCATATACCTGGAAACCCCTCAGTCCCGGGGGGAAATGGTTCATGTGGTCACCCTGGACACTGCAGAGCTTCGATGGCCGCATGCCCACTGCCTCCCTTGTTGAGAGGTCCGTTCTGGTGGTGTAGCCTCCGCTCCAGCCAAAATGACTAGAGCTCGGCCCTCTGGGGACTTGCCCGTGGACACCTCTTTGGATAGGAAGGTCTGTCTTCCCAGGCTCTGGCTGAAAAATGGAGATGCCTTTCCTTCTAGTGGCGGGGGCCGGGGGAGTGGCCTGGACCCTCTCAGAGGACACAAAGGGCCGGCCTTCAGTTTCATCTCTGTTACAGGAGTTGCCCAGGCTAATGCCCAGGAAGCTTGACAAGGTGGGTTATTTTCCCAAAAAATCCAATCTGCCAAACAAGCAGGACCTGAAAGAGGGGCTGGGAGCTGAACCAGAGGGCAGGTGTTGCTGCGGAGGGGGTCTCATCAGGTAGGCCGATGGGACTCGCGTTCTGTTTGGCCCTGCGGTCTGGGGTCCTGCCTCCCCTTCTAAGGACATGTATTATTATCTTCTCCATCAGGAAAAGGACTGCAAGCTGAGCACCAGCCACCTTCCACGTGGGGCGCCCAGTGCACTTACCCCTCATGTTGCCCTGGGAGCCCGAGCTTACTATCCCCATCTCCAAGCCGAAGCAACCGAAACCACCCACCTAGAGAAAGGCAGAACCAGGATGCCAGCCCAAGTCTAGCCTGGCCCTTGTCTCCACCACTGGCCTCCACCACTGCTCCGGAATCCCGTCCTGCACTGCAGATGCAGCCGGGCTCTGTGGAAAAAAGGAAAGGAGGGGTTGGGGTGGGCTCCACAAGGGGATGGCCAGCAGCCTCTGGTGTCCCATCGCCAGAGGGAGCACAGCATCGTGGTTACCTGTGAACTCTACAGGTTCCAATCCCAACCCAACTACATCCTGTGTGACTAACGTTCTCTCTCTCTCTCTCTCTCTCTCTTTCTCTCTCTCTTTCTCTCTCTCTCTCTCTCTCCCACCCCTGCGCTATAAACTGGGAAGAAGATAATAGTACCCATTTCCCAGGGCTGCTGTGAGGATTATGTAAGTGTGAAGCCCCTAGAATAGCACCGCTCATGGTACAAGCTCCGTAAGGGCAGCTGCAATGATTGCTTGTCCCCACACAGGTGGAGTCTTGTTGTAGTCACACTGGTGTTACTAAACAGCTGTCACTAGGGAGCGCAGAGAGTCTCTGAACACACAGGCCACTATCCCACGGGCCAGGTGCATGTGTTGGGGGCCCTCAGGTACAGAGCTTCCATGAGTCACCGTGCCCTTCCCACAGCCGGGGGCCTGGTGTGACCAGCATCCCAGGCCCCCATTGGCTGCCTCGGTCTTTCCTCCCTGGAAATCCATGCCCGGCACAAGGATGCAGCTGAGCTGAGAACCTGGCGGCACATCCTTGGGTGTTTGTGCGTCCCACCCGGGTGAGTACAGGGCTCCACCCGAGCCCTGCTAAGCCGCAGCCTCCTACAGCCACCCTGGATGGAGCCCAGAGAACCAAGAGTCATGACAGCCAGGAAGCCACAGGCTGTTTATACAGCCCAGGGTCACATGGGTTCCTGGGCAGGGCTCCACACCTGTGCTACCTGGAAGGGACTTCTCTCCCTACACAGCCCAATTAATAGCAAGGCTAATGGCACAAGTCCTCACTGATTAAGCACTTAGCACCTGCCAAACTCCACGCTGAGCTCTCCCCAGGTATTCTCTCCTTCACTCCTTACACCGATCTCATGAGATTGGCATCACCAATCTCCCCATTTAATAACTGAATGAACAGGCTTGGAATATTTCAGGGACCTGCCCCCTGCTCCGGCCCTGCAATACCCGGCCAGCTCCAAACACTCACAGCAGAAGCTGGTGGTTGACCTGTTGGCCCTCCACTCACTGATATCCTCAAATTGTCTTGTGTTTCAGCCCTGTCTTCCCAGGAGGGCTGTAAGTTCTTGGAGGCAAGGACTGACCTGGTACATCTTTAGAAACCTCTGTCAAGTGCTGTGCTGGGCTTCTAGATGTTTCAGCATGAATGAACTAATGAATGCATACAGGCATGTGTGCATGCTTTGCTCATGGTGAATTATACTAAGTAAGGAAGCAAAGAAAGGATTCTGAGAGGAAGGGAACATAGAAAGGGAGGGAATGATGAAAGGAGAAAAAATGTGGGTAGGGAACGGAGAAAGATGCTTCCAAAGTCAGTCTTATCATCTGTACTCTTATAGATGAAGAAATTGAGACTTAGAGATAAAAGGAGATTAGGCATCTCTGTGTAGGTGAGCAGCACCTGCTCAGAAACACCAGCCCCTGTAGCAGAGAACAAAGCATTCTCTGGGCCCAAAGCCATTCTGCTCCAAGGGAGACAGGACCATATGCCAATTCAGTGTGAAAGGTGTGGCTAAAAGTCTTTGATAAGTTTTTTAGATAATTTTATAAAACATATAAGATATATTTTTAAATAATATCCTCCTATAAATTGTTCTGGTCTACTTCCATTCTTTCTTAGTATTCTTTTTAACAGACTAAAAATAATTATCTAGAACTCCTTTTCAGCAAGAAATTAACATTGGTGGCAAGTATCCTAATAACTTTCCCTGTAGGACCTTTGCACTCTGCTCAGGTGGGGTCTGTGCGGTTCCCAGAACATTCCACAAATACACTTGGCCATGCTTTCAAATACACTTTGCCCTCCTTCCTCCTGCTTCTGCCCATCCGTCAAGGTTCCCATCAATTCTAAATATCCCCTAAGCCTTCCCTGGTTGTCCCAGCTCTCAACGATCTCTGCCCCTACCAAGGACCTGGCAGCCTGCCCACACCCGCGCCTGCCATCCCAGGTGCCGTGCGGTCGTGCGTGGGGTGATCTGCAAACCTGGACCGTCAGCTCCATGGGAACCACGCCTGTTCTCTGCTATTTGGTTAAGCTGCTTCTCCTCGCCTGCTTCTCCCTAATGAGCCCCTGCATTGGCGCTGGGTCCTCCGTGCAGGGAGTGTTCGGGGCACACCTATTTATTGAAGTCCACCACTTGCTCTATCAATGTCCAGTCCATAGGGGTGTTGAATTCTGGTGTGCACACCGGTTAGTGTTTTAAACTGGAACTCAGGTGAGGGTGTAGGTGAGGTTGAACGTAGGAAGGGGTTCCGTCACCAACACAGATGCTCTAAACAATTTAACAGAAGGCGAGACAAAACTCCATAGATAAGGCGCCTATGACACCCAGGGCTGTTTGCGTACATGAGATGAGGCTCTGAATGCAGAATGCAGTGCATGGTGCAAAGAGGTGACACTGTGGTGATCTGTCAGGTCGCAACCCTGTGTGGTCGGCCAGCCTGCTCAGACACATATAAGGGGGTCCTGGAACCCCTTCCTCCGAACTGTCCCCGGTGTCAGGTATGAGGGTGGGTGAGCAGATAAAGAGAGCTGGGCCAGGGAGAAGCTAAAGGGAAGGGAGAGAGAACCACCAGAGCCAGGCATGGCTACTGAGGAGAGCTGGCCTGGGAGCGTTCGCCTCTTCTGGGGTCCCCCAGCTGGGTGCCCGCGGGCAGAGCCAACAAGACTGCGCGTGATGGCCCGCACCCACTGGGGTTGGGTCAGTGTCTGATCTCGTGGAGCAGGGCCTGAGGTACCCCCATTACTAAATATGTTTAACCACCCTGGCACTTCCTATCGCTCAGAGCCAGAGAAGACAGAGCTGAAACAAAAACCCACAGCTTTAGTGCAGCCCCTGACCAAAGCCCCTACTCACGGACCACGTGAGAATAGACAGACTCGAGTTTGCTATGCCAGGAGAACACTTTATTGCGTAAATTTCCAGGGAAGCCTACGTTGCATGCATAAAAGCAGTGAAGTTTAGAAACACAATATAAGAAGTATTTTGGTAGAAAAACCTGCTCAGCGGGGAGCCCCTCTAGGGAAGCGGGTCGTTAAGAGCTGGGAGACACAGGGGCATCCTCCTTCCTGTGCGGCCCCGGGCCCTGCCCAGCATGCTGGGCAGCGGCTACATGGGGCCGGACTTCATGTGCTCCCGAGAGGAAATGGCTTTCCCGTCTCTCATCTCCTCCGTGACGGTGCGAATCTGGGTGCTGATCTGGGGAGCCGGGGCGCAGGACGTGCTCGAGACGTAAGGACCCCTAAGGGCAGGCTTGCGTTCCGTGGCACAGGGGTGGGGAGGAAGCCTGAGGAAATGAGATCATTTCACGTCGCGGGTGGTGTCAGGGCATGGCACTGACATCAGTTAACAGACTGAAGGGATCAAATGTGAGAAAGGTAGGTGACAACAACAAGGGCCTCAGGCTGTGCCCCTGACATCCCCAAGGGCTGCAGGGATGAAGACTAGGGACTCCCAGCCAAAGCAATGTTTGGACTGGCTTGT